CTCCACAAGTGGTCCTTGGCTCTTGGACAACTCTTCTGATCATTCTTTTGTCTTGACTTTCCATGCCTTTTTACACCTCCCTTTCTTCATGTGTTCAATACTTTTTCCCTGTGCCATTCCACATTATTACAAATAACTTCATTTCTGGGCATTTATGGTTTGATTTCTTTGTATGTATGGATCACTTGGGTTGTTACCGACAACTGGTGAAAATTTCATGTCATTAGCACCTCTAGTAATATATTTACTGAGAAAAATGTTGACGTGTTCAATACTTATTTTGCCCGCTGTATTTACCCCTCATATTTATAGAGCTCAGAATGAAGCTGCTCAGTGAGTGGAGGATATGAAGACGTTCAGCTTTCAGTGGGTGTGCAGAGGACCGGCAGAAATAAATAAGTCTGTAGAAGAGAGGAAAATAAAACCATCATGACCCGCTTACTGAAGTTCTGTTTATCTCAAAACAGTCCTCTGACACTTAACTCTTCATTATGGCTGCTTTGATTTATATTTTCATGATTTCATACAGATGAGAGGAATGAATGACATCAAACATACATAAATAACTCTCCTCCTCCCAGTTAAAGTTGTTTTGACCTTAAATTTCACGTCGTAGTAGAAACCAAGACCTGCCTCGTCTCTTTTGTGCTTTCAGTTTATTTTATACCTGAAGTGCAGGTAGCTGGACCCGACCACCGACTCACTGTGTCTCTGCTTTCAGACGCCTCATCCTGGAGGAATGGAGCACTCCCATAATGTCCTCCAGCAGCACGCCTCGGGTGTCCATGGCAGTCAGAGTCTGAGCGGCGCCAGCAGCCCTCTGCATCAGAGAAACACCGGGACCCAGAACTCTCGGCTGCAGGGCGAGGGCTCCTTCGGTCTGGGTGGACCAGGAGGAGAGGGACCTGATCACACTCTGGATGTGAGGAGAAGACAAAATATCACGAATTCAGCTCTGAACTTATAATAAATCTAAAAATATTGTTTATTATTAATTATTCTTTGTCCTGCTGGAGCTTGGTGAGCTCACCTGGTTGTCGTCTTCTCTAATATTTAGTATCTCTGCTCACTTTAACACAGAGTTTCTGCCAGCTCTTAAAAAGTCTAAAATTCACGCAATTATTGTGTTCAAGTCTTAAATTATTTTGAACAAGTTTTAATGTCTAACGCCCATGTAACCATACCTCAAATGCCCAATAAAGTGCTTCTGCATCACTTATTTACAGTGGTGGGCATCAGCCCGCTAAAGCACAAATCTGCTAATTGCAGACCTAAACATTTGCGCTTTAGCGGTCTTACTAATTTTTATAAATCATAAGCAGATTTGTGCTTTCTAAAATTAAAATGCAGTACCGCTAATAACTAATTATCTACCAGTCATCATTATCTTGAACAGTGGAAGGTATGGCTGTCATGAATCACAACACACATGATCTATCCAACAGCACCCCTCCCAGATAAACACACTTACTGAGAAGGTATACATCCTTGCTGACTGTTGCTTTGGTTCACGGTTCTCATTTCCCACAATACTTTGTGTCTACTTACGTAGCAGGAAGGCAATGTTTAGAACTCCCTGTCCCAGCTAAAACAGTTAACGTTTGTAATCCATACTAAAATTGTGTACGTATTGATTTATTTTACTTTACAATCGGAGCTCCTTTTTTAAAAAATAAAATTTAAACGCTGGAGCTCAATTCTTGACGTAATTGGTCAAAGCAATGGAGTTAGAGATTCAGAAATGATTTAAAGATGTTATGCTGATGAAGACTGACATCTAGTGGTCAACTGGAGCAACTACATGAAAACTTTAAAATCCAAGCTCTTATTTTGAAGGGAAGATTGTTTCCTGTACTCCGTGCTTTCGTTTCCCATCACAAATCAAACTGGTCATATACCCAGAATGCATCGCTTCAGTTTTCCAATAAACAGTTTTAAAATTATGTTTCTTTAAAGAAAAATCTACAACAAACAAAAGAAAAAGATAAAGAAGCAGCCGAACTAGCAATCCTCAACAACTTTTTAATTTTTACACCAGTAGCTAAAGGTCTGTTTCAGGAAATCACATCCCCAGCAATCAGTGGTTGTAGAATTAAGCTGTAAAAGAGTTCACACACCGCTAGTTGGCAGTGTTGTGTATATATTGTACATGATTTATTGCCAGCTAGTAAGTGTCAAATTGAACTTGTGCTTTAAAATTAGCTTCCACTAGTTTTTCTATGGCATAAGCGCTTTTGAGGTTGCGGACCTAAATATTTACATAAGCGCTTTAGAAATTGCGGAGCTTATTTTTGGATTAGCACAGCACACCACTGCTAATTTATTAACAGAATATAGTCACAGCTACAAACACGCAACCTAACCAAACAGCTTTCGTATAAATGAGTGAATGTGAAAATAGTAGGAGAAGAGTTGTTGTTGCTAACATAGGAAAATTTGAATTTGACGCTTGACCTTAAAGGGACAAATTTAAGGCATTTCCTCTGTATATTTCTGTATGTCGTGATATACTGTAGATCTTAAATTTCATTCTTAATTGTAAATTAAGAATGAAAAACTAACTTAAAACTAACAGTATTTAAAATATTAAATCTGTTAAATGAAGCCCAGAGGTGTTGAAGCTAAAAGCCCGTTTTCTGTGTCGTCCAGCTCCTCCCTGAGCTCACCAACCCAGACGAGCTGCTGTCCTACCTGGGCCCCCCCGACCTCCCCAACAACAGCAACGACGACCTGCTGGCTCTGTTCGAGAACAACTGATGTGGACTCCACCTCGGTGCCGTGGCAGCCTCCAGATCAGAACTTCAGTTTGCCCTGCGGCCCGGTCCTGTCTGCACAGACGGTGTGTGTGATGGACTTTTTGTTTGTCTCTTGTCTTTCTCGAGTGTCCTCTAAAGCCTGTTGAGTGCAGAGGTGCGTGACGGGATGCTGACTGCAGCAAGCAGGAAGAGCAGAAGCACACAGGACTCTGCAGACCAGCTTCTACAGCACAAGATCCAGTGTGGACGGGTTTGGAGGAGGGGAGAACCCAGCCCTGCTGTGGCTGCTGCACTTGGCAGCACCTGGAAGACATGTTTGTACCTCTTGAACTTTTGAACGTTTTGTCATGGAGCAAACACAGACAGTAAAATATTTCACTGGGCTTTGCTGTAAGAAACACAAAGTATCACAAACATGTGGAGTGGAAGGAAAATGATGCTTGTTTTTTACAAGTTTTACATATGAATACTTTAAAGTGTGGTGTAGGACCACCCTCATTTCAGCTCCTGCTACAAGTCTTTGGGGTTTGTCTCCACCAGCTTTAGAGACTGAAAGAGTTTCTGAACTCCTTCAAATGGATTCTCAGTTGGATATCTGTCTGGTCTTTGGTCCATTGGAACACATTTGGTCTAACCCAGTGGTTCCCAACCCTTTTGGACTTGTGTACCCCCGAGCCATTTTGTCATACCACTAGCACCCCTTCAGTCAAATGTAATGATGATTCTCCAGAACTATAATGTATTTAAGGTTTAACCTTACACTCTTATAACAAGGTTATAAGGAGTATATTTTAGCAAGGATCTCTTTTATTTTCGGTAAAATATTCTTCCAGTTCAAAGTGAATGGATACACAATAAGTTACGTGAGTCAGTGAATTTTGATTTGATCCATAAATAAATGCGATCGTTTATTTTACAAATCAGACAAAATCACTAAAGTACACTTAATTGTGGTCAATCAACTTCCTATAAAAGTATTAGGACCAACAATAACAAGCACTTCGAACATGTTAATTGTCAACCACATGCACTTAAATAGAAACACAAATGTCAAGTTAGATGTTTAAAACCAGACATTTGAGGCAGATAACTTAGGGTTGGGGCCCTGTGATGGACTTGCGACCTGTCCAGGGTGTACCCTGCCCCTCGCACTGTGACTGCTGGATATGGGCACCAGTGACCCACGCGACCCTGAAAAGGAAGAAGCGTGTACAGAAAATGGATGGATGGATGGAACTTAGGGTTGGCAAGGAAGATTTTAAGAAAAGGAGGAAAGTAAGATGTTAGCTTTTCCTACTTTTAACTTAAAGCGTATCTTACCCGCCCTGTGAAAATATAACTCCACCCCAAGGAAAAATTTGAAAAATGCATCAATGTGGGTAGGGTAAGGGGTGTGGGAAGGGAAGGGGGGGTGGGGGTTAGAGAGCGGAGAGGCCAGGACGAGAGACGAGAGAGCCAGGACGAGAGAGCGTGACAGCTAGCATTAGCATAATTGATGCTACATGGAGAGTCACCACAGCGACGCAGATAGTTACATCTCTGAACGTCTGAGGTGGAGGATTTTCACCCCCCTCCTCATCAGAGGCAGAGAGAGACTTGATCAAGTCAGCTCAGTCTGGGACTGACTCGTGTTGGCTCCGTGGATCAGGACCCGCTGCGCTTTACCGCAGCCTCAGCTGAGCTCTGTCCACCTCACACCACACCAGAGGAGGTAGAGCGCTCCTCGACAGTCTGACAGCTGCCCCACTGTCTTTCTGCCTTATTTTCCCCTCCTCCCCTCCGGCTGTGCAGGACGTACTGCTGGTGTGTGTGTGTGTGTGTGTGGGGGGGGGGGGCAGTCAGCTCTCCCCACCCGAGGCTGAAGGTCAACAGACGATCATGCTAAGCTTGCTAACTGTTCCACCCTCTGACTGCTGCAGGGGCGTGTCTTAGAGAGAGGCTTTTATACCAGAACACAGCCGCTGTGACGAAACCGTGGAGAAGACACGTAACCGTGGAGAGCCGTTAACCAATATGCAAATTAGCCTGCAGTACCACTGCTCTACCCATATGAGCAGCAAAAACACGTTTTTAGACCAAATATTACAGATTTGAACAAATACGCACAAAAACATCAAAATTAACACAGAAACAGTACTATATAACATTTTAGACACATTCTAGACCGTTTATCAGCTAAAAAAGTTAATTTTGGGGTAAGTTACTCTTTAAATAAATGTGGTTTTAACCAGAGAGGCGAGGCGTTCTCTACTCGGCGTCGGCCAGACAGCGAAATTCACTACACAGCCAGCTTTACCTTTAAAGATGAGGTCAGTCACCTTCCAGGTATTTCGGATTTCTGCTTAGAAAATCCATTTTAGGACCGTCAGCACAGATGGAACCTCGAGGCGCGTGGGTCAGACTTGCTTGCGTCCGCGTCAAGCCTTAGAAAGAAGGCGAAGCCAAACACTGGACCCAGACTTCAAAATAAAACTTCCGACAGGAAGGTTTTAAAAGTTGGATAGACCAGGTGTGGGTCGTATCCGGCTGTGCGGTTTCCCCGTTGGCGTGAAGGGGTTTTAAACCAACAGCTTCAGCTCCTGATTCCCGAAGAGAATCCAGCTGCCAGTGTGACTGATGGGCGGTCCGTCACTTTCTGCCATCCGGGCACAAACTGTTACTAAGAAGCTTAGATGTCCTAAGTTCCGCCCTCCGAAGGTTAGATTAGAAAAAGTGATATCAAGGAAAGTGTTAGTTCAGAGACGCCATCGCCTCCTGAAACCAAACAAAGATTTCTGCTTCTGTGTAGTTCAGAAACAAAACATTTCATGACCCATTTAATTATCTGATGAGAACTTCTTTAACACATAACTGAAAAATGAATTGCTTCAAATTCAAAACATTTGCAAATATGATTCAGACAAGTAAAACATTGATATTTCATCAACTTTAAACCATAAAGATTAGTTTAGTTAAATAAGAATTTTCCCACAGAAAATCCATACATAGCTGAAATCATACTGATTGAGAAAAGAGATCTGTCCTCTTTTGTCCTGTAACATTCTCTGATTATCAAAATGTGTAATAACTTTCAGTTAAAAGAACAATAAATCAAATAAGACGAAGATTCTTCTGTCTATTATCTGATTAAATAAAAGAGAATGTCTCTTTGACAAGTTAAGGCGACCTGAGGTGGCCTAAATTCAGTTCTAAGTGGAACAGAGTTTTTGTCCCTTTAAAGGTCCATCAGAGGTCTGAGGTCCAAGACAGTTTCCTTGATTATTTCACTCGAGGTGATCCCTACATGTACAACAACTGATTGTTAAATGAAAATTATTTATTTAACTCCTAGAATGTTTAATTCTCAGGCTTTTTTTTTCAACTCAAATTAAACGTAAAGATAAAAATGTTGCCTTCAAAGTGAATAAGTAATTAAATAAATAACCCAGGTAATGGCAGGTGCGGAAAACAGCAGCGTCCAAAATACATCAGAAACTCACCCAAAGGAGCAAATTCTGTGAGATTCCACGTTTTTTACTGGATTCCATTTTGTGTTAATTCCGTGATTCCATCTGCAATTTCCACATTGTGGAAATCATAGGGCTCTACATATCTCAGTCCTATTTTTATTTCTTTTTTTACACACCTGGGAAATTTTTCCACGTACCCCCAATAATATGCTTGTGTACCCCTGGTTGGGAATCCCTTGTCTAACTCTTTCTGTTGTAGCTCAGACTGGATGTTTCAGGTGAAAAATGAAACATCCTAACAGGTTTTCTGTCCTGGATTTAGCTCCACAGCAGAAAAGCCATCCCTCAGCATGATGCTGCCACCATGTTTCACAGTAAACAGGACTTCTCCTGTCTTTTTTTTCAACAGCTTCCTTCCTGTCACTGTTCTATAAAGGATAGGTTTGTGGAGCACAACTACTAGTTGTCCTGTGGACAGATCGTCCTCCTCACCCGCTCATGTCTTGGTGGGTTGATCAGAGATCTGTAGGATGTTTTATATTCTAACCCTGCTTTAAAACAGGCTGCTTTAAGCTTCTCAACAACTTTATCTCTGACTTGTCTGGTGTGTTCCTTGGTCTTCATGATGCTCTGACAAACCTCTCCACTTCCACTTCACTGTTATTCTCTACTTAGTGTTGGTCTGTCACGTTAAATCCCAGTGTTTTGCAGTCTGTGTTTGTAACGTGACAAATGTCAAAGAGGTGAATTCTTCTTCCACACTGTTTATTCTGCATCATCGTCCTTTAATGTTTGTCCAGATATGTTTGACTGAATGAAGGCTTCATTTAGGATGAAACGACACATGCTGTTGAGAATATTTCCTTTGTTTGGATGGACACAAAGAGCAGAACCTTGTTGTATTTGTCTAATATATTTCAGTATTGTTGCCGTCATCTCCTAGCCTCGTGATGAGGTGCAGTTTTCTGTCACTCCATATTAAAAGGTAAAGGTCCTCACACAGAGGGATGTGAGGTGGGATGCAGACCCCCTCACAGGCCTTCTGACAGTATTTACCTTCAACTGAGCCTGCTTGTCTCTCAAACACTCTTTATTTTACATTTTAGTAGAAAAGCAAACCGCAAACAACTCTGCCTGAATCTAGCAGCTACAGTGAACATGATCAGGTTATCTGAGGGTAAATAAATAAATCATGAGTTGCATTCAATCACATCTGTTCCACATGCTGCCATCAATATCCACCTTTAGTAAGAAAGAGTTTTTATTAGCATATTGGTTCAGAAAAAAACAGCCCAACAAATCTACAATCTTATGATATTCAAAATCTTACTGTCAGCACACGGCATAAAAACATCAAAACCAACATTGTTAGTCCTCCTGAGTGCTAATGCTCTTTAATAACAGGTATTTTCTCTATATTTGCCTCATTATGTAGAAGTTAGTTGTCTTATTTAGGCTAATATAAAAATAAATGTTGTCAGGCATGTTGCCAACTGAGAGAAGCAGTTTAAAGTGAATCTGGAGCCTTAAAGGGATCCCTGATTAGTTGTAACATTAGACTTAATTTAATAAACTTATGTTTTAACTGTAAAATAAAGACTGAAAAAATACTGTAGGATGTTCAGTTTATCATTTTTAAACAAAGTTTAAAAATATATTACACGGACGGGGCCATTTTATTTTCACTCAAAGCATTCTGGGTAAATGATGACGTGGATAGGTCCTCGGTGTGAGGCTGCTAGCGAGCTATATCCACCCTGAAGGTTAATCTTGGACAATATCTGATGATCGACTCTTAAATGAAACCAGAGAGAGCGTTGACAGAGAGGAGAAGGTAGAAATGACTCAGCCTGGAACTGAAAATATGGATGGAGGACAACAGAGCTGCTTCATGGAAGAAGAACCTCAGCTTAGCCTGTTAGCTTTAGCGTTAGCCCCGATGCTATCACCTACCATCTGTATGCTGATGACATACAGTTGTACTGTTCCTTTAGACCCTCTGAGTTCTTCAAACTATCTGAACTCAGTAACTGTCTGTCAGAAGTCAAAATATAGCTGAACAACAACTACCTGCAGTTAAACGCAAGCAAGACAGAGACTCTTATTATCGCCCCTGATGATAAAATCCCTGTAATCAGGCAGCACCTTGCTTTTTTAACCCCTTCAGTGAAAAATAGTCTCAGAAATCTGGGTGTTGTCTTTGATACTTCTATGTCTTTTGACAGTCATTGTAAAATTTTAGTTCGTAACTGTTTTTAATCATTTAAGGAACATTTCAAAGCTGACATCTTTTGTGTCACAGAAGGAACTAGAGATGGTTGTTCACGCTTTTATTTCTTCTCGTTTAGATTACTGCAACAGTCTTTTTACATGTCTAAACAAATCCTCCTTGACTCGGCTTCAGTCTGTGCAGAACGCTGCAGCGAGGTTATTAACAAAGACCCACAGGAGAGCCCACATTACACCTGTTTTAGCCTTTCTGCACTGGCCCCCTGTGCATTTGAAGAGTCATTTTAAAATTTTAGTTTTGACTTTCAGAGCACTTCATGGTCAGGCCCCCAAATACATCCTGGACCTTCTGAAGCCTCTCTGTYCAWCMAGGACTTTGAGGTCTTCTAATCAAATGCTGCTGGTGGTCCCTCGAACCCATTATAAAACCTGTGGAGACAAAGCTTTTCAGGTGGTGGCCCCGAGGCTCTGGAACACTCTCCCTCTGTCCCTTCGCTGCTCAGATTCTACTGACTCTTTTAAGAAACATCTTAAGACAGTTTTATTCAGACAGGCTTTTAGTTAATGCGCTTTTTATTGTGTTTTAATTGTTGTTTTTATATCTGTGATCTGTTTTATTGTTTTTAATTATTTTTTTGCTTTCTGTGAAGCACTTTGTGATGTTTGTGTCTGTGAAAGGTGCTATAGAAATAAAGTTTACTTACTTACTTAATTACATATGTATTAGCTCAGTGCTACACATTCTCCTCTCGTCACTGAGGTCCTCCATCCACATGACAGAGAGGGGAACACAAAATTGACTCAGCCTGCAGCTGAAAATATAGATGGAGGACCTCGGTTTAGCTTGTTTGTCATGCTAGCACTGAGCTAATACATATATGGCAATATAGTGTTAGCGCAAAGGCTAACAGGCTAAGCTGAGGTTCTTCTTCCATGAAGCAGCTCTGTTGTCCTCCATCCATATTTTCAGTTACAGGCTGAGTCATTTCTACCTTCTCCTCTCTGTCAACGCTCTCTGGTTTCATTTAAAAGAGTCGATCATCAGATATTGTCCAAGATTAACCTTCAGGGTGGATATAGCTCGCTCACACCGAGGACCTATCCACCTCTTCATTTACCCAGAATGCTTTGCGTGAAAATAAAATGGCTCCATCCATGTTAAAATATATTTTTAAAAATTTACTAAACTAAACAGTCTACAGTATTTTTAGTCTTTATTTTACAGTTAAAATACATGTTTATTCAATAAAGTCTAATGTTACAACTAATCAGGGATCCCTTTAAACTCATCAGTAACTGTCCGCTAGGTTCTGACATCACCATGAATTATAATCAATACTACACCAAATATTTCTGCCTTCTCTCTCTGTTTGAACTAGAAGCCAGCTGGGTCCAGTTCACTGAAGCTGCCATGTTGTATCTTTGGAACTGCAGTCTGTTTAGGAGAGAGCTTTAAATCATGCTGACAGTCTCACACTGTCCTGGTGTTACATGATATTTATTTTAAATATAAAACAACTAATTACAGGTAAACACATTTAAAAAAAATCCTTTTTACTGTGGAACTGTCAACATATAATACTGGACTACCTAGAAGGTTGATAGTGTGGTCCAAGTACAAGCTTTAAGCCCCGCCCCTCTACATAAACAAAGAGAACCTTCATTTTGAAGAAAAAAAAAAACACTTCAGATAATGTTTTTAGCTGTTGACTCCTGTTGATTCATGTAGTTGTTTTTATGTTTAAATAGATAGAAATATAAGCTGCACATTGAAGTCACTGTGTTGTGCCTGCAGTGCAACCGTTAAGCCCCGCCCCTTCAATTTAAACGAATGGGACATTTCTGACTAAAAATACAAGATCAGATCAATCTTTTTCAAGTGTTGATTTCTGTTGGTTCACGTATGTTAGACTCACACTTTGATACTTTTTAATTTGTGTTTTTAAAAAAGCACCGTGTAGCTGGAACTTTTGTGTCTATGTTACAGATTCGCATTCATACTCTGATTTCACAATGTGGCAGCTCCAAAAACCAGATGTTTTTTCTGTCAGTTTTTAGTCATGGAAATCAGTGGAAGTTATGGAGGTGTTTCATGTTCTGTAAAGTTTTCAGTCAGGCGTGTGACCCATCACTCACCAGGATTAAACCACTGTTGGTTTTAAACTTTTACTGGCCTCCCTTGAAAAAGAGATCTGAGATCTCAATGGTTAAATAACGGTAAATAAATAATAAATAAATTTTATCTGAATTATGGGGGAAAAAAAGATGAATAACTTGTAATGTAAATGATAAACACGTGAAATGTAGGCAGTGAATTTATAAAGTGGATCATGAAATGATTCAATCGTAAACAATAAGGCCTGACAGCAGGCTCAGGTCTGTTTCAGCACCTCCTCCCTCTGTGCTTCACCACGATTGTTTCTGTCACTGACAAGCTTCATGTATGTTTTAGATGGTCTGACATGTATAACTCCTCCTGATGGGTTTATGTATTGTACAGTCTGCTGTTTTCATTAGAGAACGTGTGTATCAAATGTTAATCATTCTCATTTAAATGTCATTAGTTGGATAATGGATCATCACTGTAAACATTTCTGTTTGTTAGAAAGCTGAAGCTGTAAAAAAATAATTAAGAACAAATTTCATTTACTCATAACAGAAACAGCTAAAGATGGTTATTTTGCTATCTTTTCCAGCTGAAAGTTTTCTTCATAATAACAAGGAAGAATCAAACATCTTCTTTGTAAACTGAAGCAACAATGTTATGTTTAGAAATCATGGACTACTTAAAAAATGCTAGAAGGAGGGAAGAAGTTTTTTTAAAATATGTAAACTATTCCACAAATTTTGTAACACATTGTAATTTACATTATTTTCTATTTATTTTTTAATCATAATCATCACTGTACCCACATTTACTTTGTCCCTTTCCTGACTCTAAATTAAAAGTCGTTTTATTTGACAAACAGAGCTTTTTACTTGTGTTGAAACAATAATTAAGCGTTAATCAAATTAGATTTTATGTAGAACTCTAACATTTGTGTTTATGCATTGGTATAGGTGTCCTTCAGACCAAGCTTTCTGTGAATTAATTGTTACCAAGATGTTTGTAGTTTCTTTTTCTTATGACTTTTTATTTGAGTTGGAGAGTTAGTTGATTATGTTTTTTCTGTATTTGCCTCCTGGAAGCAGAGTGGATATAAATCAGGGATCTTCAGCCTGTGGAGCTTTGCTTTCTCTGCAGAGTTTCACCAAACTAACAAAATAAATGATATTTAAATTTGCAGTGTTGCACAAAACACCACAAAGTGATACTTGAGTAAAGTACAAGTATCTTACCAAAAAATTACTTTGGTAAAAGTTAAAGTCTCCTTTAGGAATATTACTTGATTAAAAGTCTTAAAGTATCTGATAGTTTTTGTACTTAAGTTTTAAAAGTAAAAGTATTGATTTAAAATGAGCAGTTAGATTTTCTGTAATGACATTTATTAGGAGGTGACCTCCTCAAAACAATGCAGAAATGACTGTATTGTATTAAAATAATTAATTTATGTTAAATGTAGGATGCACTATTCTAGCTGTTTCAGTTTATATACATATATCAAGGCTGCACAAACATTTTCCCCAAAATGAAAATCTATCTGAGGGCTGCAGCCAAAAGTACTAATATAATTCATGAAATACAAATACTTCTTAAGTGCAGTCCTTTTATTTTAATGTCCTGCTGGAGTGTGACATGAATTGTTTGTGTACAAACTAATATGGTATCAGAATTTTATACATACATACTTCTCATTCAACCACAATTAAGTTCACTCTATCTAGGAGGCACAGTTTATATGGATAGTATTTATTTTTTAAAACAAGCTGGAATGAAAACAAGCAAAAATGAAATAAAAGTAACAACTTTCTACTTGCCTTTTTTTAAAATGTAAGAAGCAAAAGGTACAGATAATTGTGTGAAAATGTAAAAAAAGTAGAAATAGGAGAAGAAGATATAGTAGAAGGATGAAAAACAATTCCTCAAATTAATTCCAGATACAAAAAAAAAAAAAAATTCTACTTAAGTACAGTAACAAAGTATTTGTACTTAGTTACTTTACAACTCAAAATTTTTAACCATGACAGTAAAACACTATAAAAAAAAGAACAAATCATTCCAACACCAAGAACTAAAAGCAACAGGCTCTGCATTTTAATGTAAGAAATAATTAAAAATACATTTCAAAATGAGACACAGCATATTTATTTTCCACACATATTAAACAACTCATAGTCTGCTCAGTCGTTAGATTTATTTAATCTCTTTTGTTATGTAGGATTTTATTTTCCTTTGCTCTAACATAAATAATTATAAAAATGTCAAGTTTATTTCAGACCGTTAATATTTTCATGTCACAAACTCCAGTTTTTATATGTAGTATTTCTAAAACGTCTTTATTTTAAGCTTCAGATCCATTCTGCAACTGTGAACGTTTAGGTTTTAGTTTGAAAAGCAGCTGCAATTTATTTATTTATTTTACTTTTTTATAAGGTGGCAAACACCTGCTGGACATCTGTTTACATTTTATTCCCTCTGAAGCTCCAGCTGTGGTTTGTCATGGAGAAGCTCCACCCCCTGGTAGCTCATTGGAGCAAACCTCGCTCATCCGCGTTCCTATTGGTCCGCTGTAAAGCCTTGCGGATGGCCTGGTTTTTGATTGGCTGTCGTCACCAGGACCCGCCTCCCATAAAACCAGACCATATTAAATAAATCGACATTTAGCTCTGCATCTCCAGGAGCTCCTTCAAATCGCGTTAAACGATGGCAAACCCCAAAGTTTTCTTTGACGTCACTATTGATGGCGCGAGCGCCGGCAGGATTATAATGGAGGTAGGATAATTCTCTACTGCTGACCCTGCTTGTTCCAATGCTAAACTCACAGTAAACGCCCGCCGACCTGCTGCTGACAGATGATACCTGCTGTTTTAAATGGCTGCAACAGGCTGAGGTTATATTAATGAGTTTAGGTTAACTAGTTAAGGTTAGTGAGTTAAGAGCAGCTCTTTAAAATGGTGCACCATCCAGTGCAGGGAATTAAATTCAAAGCATCAAAAAAACTGGCCTAGAAAATTATTTGAGGGTTTGTTTAATGTGCAATAAATGTCATGAAAATAATCATTTTATCTTAGATACAAACCTTTTTTTATATTTAAAGAGGCTGCAGTGCTTTTAGTCCTGCCTGATTATTTTTAAGACAATATTTTAACCCTCCTGCTGCTGTGAGGTCAAAATGACTGTTTTAGCTCTAAAGTGATTTGTGAGGTTTTAGTTGAAAACTTTGCATAAAGCAGATGAATGGTCTCTCTGGTCTCTAATTGTCATTTATATTTCTGTAAATCTTGCCTTTTAAATCCTGTTTATGTATTTAGGTTTCTTTTGTTTGGTCTTTTTGTCCTGTAACCTCCTCTTATGATCCTGTTTCCTGTTGGCTGGACAGTCCATGACAAGATGAACCAACGTTTTAGCTAATTATTCTTTAAAAATATATTATTAATACCAAAAAACCATTCATACATGTCAAACTTTGTTGTTATACAGCAGGTAAAATAAGTATTGAACACGTCACCATTTTTCTCAGTAAATATATTACTAGAGGTGCTAATGACA